CAAATCAAACGAGTACAACCAAAGTTATGATCGTTCAAAAATATAAAGATGCAACATTTTGTAAAAATTCGATGCCCTATATTTAGAAGACCTGTGGTCAGAATGTGCAAAAAACATCAATGTAATGTTCGGGGCGACACAGGAACTCGCTCACAAATTTATAATGAAATAGCTGATGGTAAGGTGCAAAACAGCCGATTTTTGTTCGATTTGACGTGGAATGCCCTACCTGCCACCGGGCCAATAACCAGGCCGTAATTGGGTGCCGTCAACCCTGGCGACGACCTGGGTGTATTGATCTCCGAGCTGTGTACGGGCACTGCCGTACTGCAGGAACTGACCGTGGTGACGGCACTGGCGATCGGGCCCACCCGGACCACCAGACTGACAGACTACCGGCAGACTGTCAGTCCATGCCTGATCGGACCCACCCGGAGGAACAGACTGACAGACTGCCGGCAGACAGTCCGGTGACCAAGCTAGGCTGCTCGACAGAATGTTTGTCTGTTGTCACCTCCATGCCGCTCAGCTCCAGTTGTCGAGTGAACGAACACACCGCAACCAGCCGCACACTGGCCTCCAAAACTCAAGCCTCGCACAGTTCGAGTTGGAGTTGTATCAAAAGCTAGCGTGTGATCCTATAATATCAACGCCCTGGCTGGCTCCATGTTTCTCCATCTCCACGGGCCTTGTAAGTTCATAAAAAACGGTGCCGGTTGCCCCTGATCCCGACCCTGATCGGCGGCCCACACTGATAAGGTGCCGGTCGGACCTCTGGCGCCTGAGTCCGATCTGGTCTACCCGCACACCCACTCAGGTCGTCAGGTCAGTGGTCCAAGCTGGTCGTTACTGACACCTCCACGGGACACCATCAGCAATAGCATACCACGCCGTCGTGGCGGTCGAAAGAGGCGCGGTTTTGATCTCTCAGCTCTGAGAGCGGCGTCAGCTGATCGACTCCCAGCTCTGTGGGGAATCAGCAGGTTTATTCCAAACTTAACACGAACTCATCCGTAGACTTGCCGATCCCTCAAGAAACATCCCAACACATCAGTGAAACACCGTCAGATCTTCCCAGCTTTGAAGCGTGTCAATATCTTAGAACGCTGAGGTAGATCGTCATATTTTCAAGCTCTGAGGAGCATTACGATCCTCTCAGCCCTGGAGAACACTACTCTTCCAGCTCATAAAGAGCACCTTCAGAGCCATTTCTGGCTCGTGGGTGGGAGCGCCGTCGGGCTCTCCTATGGGAAGTGCTAATCGTCCTCGCGAGCCCAGGGCCCGGTTGTTGCTCCGCCCGCGTGTCGATCTATTTCCTGCTCGGTAATGAGAGTAGCACGCGCGCCGTGCAGCTCTCTCCCCCGTCAGAGGAATACACCGAGCCCGTTATCTCCCCCTCTTTCCCCCTCCCCTCTCTCGGCGCCACGCCTGCTCTCCATACACTGCAGGCGTGGCTGGCAGGGGAGGAATGACCGCCAAATTCCTGAGTGCCGACATGCGCTGTCGGCGTCTCTGCTCGACTCAGCTCGCGACGAGTCTTTATGACAGAGCGGCGCCGGCCAAAAATGTAGCACTCTCGCTGATTCTCGGATCAAGTGCGTTCATGACCAATTCTGGAAAATCACACTGATCATTCATGATTCAGCCCACCCAGGGAGACGGTTCAAACCACGGTCGGCGTGGCAACTGTTTTTATGACGTCACCGTAATCTCAGCCATTGAAAACACCCCCCGAAAACGGCCCCAGCCCACGCCATAAAACCACCGTAACTGCCAGGCTAAGCTGAATTCCGGAACCGGCGTGTAAAAATGGTAAGCTGAATTTAATTAAACGCTGCGTTCGACGTGAGGCGCCTGTGGTTCTCCCGGCACTCGGCAACATGAGTTGGAGCCGAACGCAGCCATGAATCAGCCTCGCCACCTCGGCTTTGCCAGGGCGCCTGACATAGATACGTCATGGATGGTGACAGTCGCTGTTCGACGTCAGAATCTGATGACAAAGGTCATGATGCACATCACCGCCTGTTTGTGGGCGACGCGCCGTTTGGGGTAGGGTAACGACTAACGAACTAACGACAGGACATCGAGCCACAGTCGGCTACCGTCCACCGCATGACTGGGGACAGGGCAGGGGAAGGGGAGAGGGGGTATATAGGGCCTTGGGAGAGGGGAGCGCTGCCAGGTGGGGAGCGGGCTGGTCGAGTGGACAGGATGTCCACGGGGCCGAACATCCGGGATGACGTCATCAATGCGGGAGGCGGAACGACGCGACTGGCCGAGCCACCGGTACCGATTAGGGTTATAGCACGCACGCTGACAGGACATACAACAGACGCTTCAGGTCACCGGGAAAAGTGATCGGATCGAAACATAGTTTGACAGGCCGATACGTCGTGACCTGGTATGTCGTGTCAGGTCGACTGGGTTAGACTGGTAGAAAATATCTTCTGCTTCGGTCTGAAGTGTGAAGTGAGAAACGAATGGAAGAAGTCCTAACTGCCCGTCTGTGGCCCATCACTGTCTAGTGGAGGGAGGAAAGGGGGCACGCGAAGGGGCGGAGGCAGGTGGCTGAGAGGGGGCGGGACCGCACGGCAGCTGTTTGCGGAGTGCGGAGGCAGGAGCGTGACAGAGCACCAGCTGCTCCCAAAACGGAGGTAGAGCTGGGGTCAAATGAGGTCGCAATTTTCAACTGATTCAACTCGAACCACGACTCAAAATTGCTTCAGACGCCTGACTGATGCAGCAATGGAGGGGGGGGGGGGGGGGGTGAAACAGCATACAACACATCCGTCAGCGACGCAGACCATCACTCGTCCGAGCGACAGACTCTGAAACCGATCGGCTCCAATTTCAGAAGACTGAGTCGGCGTTTGAAGCGCTCGCTGCGTCGGCTATTTGACACCGTCAGGGCGCGGTGCGGTCGAAACATCGCGGCTGTTCCGCGTCGACAGATGAGATGATCTGTCTGAGCAACTGACCGTCCAACGGGAGGGCAGACGGTCAGAGGAAACGGGAGACGAAATGGTCTGTTGGTGCTCACACATACCATCGTCTCGGCATGCTCAGATGTCCTACAAACACATCCGGCATCGGATTGCTGACGTAGGGGTTGGGACGGGGAGTGTCTTGGTTGGTCATCGGTATAGGCCGGCCGGATAAAACTCAAACCTTGTGCAGACAACGCGAATCGCGATCCATTTCCCGGTCGGAGCCTGTAATACCTGAGCCTGAAACTAACCTAGAGTTAGCTCTGACCGACACAAAGCTAGCCTGGGGTCGGGACCTTGCCCGGCGCCGGTACATGAACATTGAACGAGGTAACGGGAACCAGTCGGGTCGGCGCTGAGGTTGCGCACCAACCGGCGCGCGGCGCCCGGCGGGGAGAGGTCAGAAAAAGGTGCTCCGCCGAGGTGAGGTCGACTCCGGACCTCGTAACACGTGCCGGAGAATCGGGTCCAGTGTCGGACAGAGCCCAGTGGCGTCGTTTCTTGTCAGCGGAGCCGGTCGGGTCCGGCGGCGTTGGGTAGTCCCGTTACACAGGCTAATTTGTGCTAACCAGGGTCCGACCGTGCCGGTCAGGCGACTACGGACAATGCCGTGAGCCCACGCGGTCCAATCAAGCTCCATTGGAAACTATTAATCCGTGACGCTAGATACCGTTCAGCGAAGAAGCTCAGTACCTACTCCACAGATATCAGGTCGGTTTGAAATCGTACCTCCCCTGTCGCCTCACCCGCCACGCACACAGTGAATAAGCTACTATCCTGAACTGACTCGAGCTATTTGACTCGAAAGGTCATGGAGTCTTTGCGTCGCCCACATCAGCGACGCCAAGACGCCGCCGATACGTTACGATCGATCGCTGTGAAAAGCACCCATGGACTGCTCAATACAAGCTTAGTCAATAGCCCAGCGTTTGTAAACACGCTTAGTTAGCTGATGGTAAGCAAGATTCTGACCTGACATGACACTGCCGTCTATGTCATCATACAAATGCTTGGAGCTACAGAGGAACAAACGTCAACAAAGGACAATATATTCAACTGTGCAACTCTGGCTGCTTGGTAAGCATATCTGAGGGCGGGGGCGACACGAATCATGCCGCATTCGGTCAGAACAGGGATGGGTGCAAACTCGGCACATTGGGGAGCGGCCGTCCATACAGTTGTGAGGGCGGAGCTGGGAGGAGTCCCTTCTAGGAGCGGCTCCAGCATTCGACCTTCAGAGTCTGCCTGTGGACTTTGGTGACACATTAAGTTGCCATTCGGCCGTTCAGTCAGGACAAGTGTGTCCGTTTCTGAATAGAGCGCAGAGTTTCCTGCGTCGTTCTGGGAGTTCCCTCAATGGAAAGGAAACCGACAGCAATACTTCTGGAGCGGTGTTGGGTGATTCAGCCGATACGGTCACCTTTACAGGGAAGGAGCGTGCCTTTTGTCACTTCAGCACGCTTATAATGCTGGTTGTGTGGTCGTTAAAAGGTGGCGGCGCACCCCAAGCCTCCGCCTTAATTTCCAATATTAATTACCCGCAAATGCATCGTAATAGCAGACTTTCATGGCTGCCACCAATCTGGGAATCGAAAATTGCGCAGTATCCATTATATGATACAGAACAGGATAGTATGAATGGAACAAACTGTTCACTAAACGCTGCAGCATCTGAATGCTATTAGGCGAATGTCATTCATCAGCGCGCAGTGACTGCCCTAACGAGCATGCCCCGGCGGCTCTGAGCAGGGCCTGATCGCAGCTGACAGTCCGGTGGACGATCAGAGGTGGGCGGTTATATAGCCTTGGGTGGAGCTCTGTCAGGCGTCAGCGACTGTCAGCTATAAGCTTGCACGTCCGGCGACCGACAATGACAAGGAAACGGAGTAAAGAACGTCGCTCTGCTGTGACGAGGAACACATCGGGTTTCACACAGGGGATAATCAGAGTAGGTAAAGCCCGTCATTTGAGGGGGCGCGCTCACAGAAATAGACAGAACATCAGAACACTTACGTATCGGCGTGTCTGCGTTCTTGAGCTGCACCACTTTGCGTCGGACCACCTCCACGCGGTTCCGCAGCGCCTGAGCTCGGTCCGAGACGGCCACGAAGCTGTCGTGCAGCTCCTCGAATATATCCTCAGCCGCGAGCACCAGACTGGAGAGCTGGCGCAGCACAGTGGCGAGCGCTGCATTGGCAGCGGCGCAGCTCTCATCACCGCCATCACCCTGACCGGGCAGAGGCCGGCCATCGCACAGCTGCAGCGGGGAGACGTGTCGCAAGTAGAACGGCATGGTCAATCACCGAGCGCAGCCGCGGCCCGGCCCGCACCTCCTCACTGCACGCCCACCGCCACACTGTCGCTAGTGGTCGCGGCTAGCACTGCACCTCCGCAGCGCTGCCACTCTGACTCCGCCTTGGCCTCAGCCTAGCGCCACGCTGACGCTGGCTTGCGCTCCGTCTCGGCAGCGTCGTCACTCCACCTTTACGCTTGCTCCATATCACTCCGTCCTCACCGAACTTCATCCATAGACTGAGACGGATCAGTGTCCGTCTCCACCTACGAGTCAGTAGTCACGAGTGAAGACTTGTGCCGAAAGCTAGCACCGTTTCATACCGCAACAAGTTTCACGAAACATCTGAGTTACAGCTCAGACAACAACATGTCAGCAAAACATAAAACGAACGAAAACAATCTCACCACTTTTCGCTACCCTCCCTTTGCTCTACCACTACGCGTCTCACCGCTTTGTAGCCACACGCGTGCACACGCGACTTTGCGCGCGACGAGCGCACGGGCCAGCACGGGCGGCCTCGGGCAACCACAACAAACGCTACAATACTGGCGAGCCAGTGCGTCATTACCACGAGTTTCCCTGGCTATCCGCGTTGTGAAATATTGCTATTTATCATTATTGTATTATTTTCCGAAAAATAATATTCAAGATAACTTAAATCAGCCATAGATTTCAAAAAGTAAGCCTTTCTGTAAGGTAAGTCAGGAGGATTTTGAAAATAAATGATTTTAGAGGGGGAATCACCTCTAAAAATAGTTTCCACTTCACTCACTAGATGTCAGCAAAATATGGCAATTATAGATGTCGCTAGCTCACTGACAGGTATCGTCTCTATGGGTTTCTGTCGTCATCCCGGCCCCCGCTTGATCCATGCTAGAGTGAGAAGAGAATATGGTTTTCATCTTAGGCACAGGCGAGGCATCAATCCTGGCATCAATATTGATGTCATATGACATGCACGATGCACATCAGTACTCGTGGACAGAAAATACGCACGAAAATACTGATTGCTTCAAAGAAATCATTTAGATAGATACCTACTAAGCTCTTGTCAAGAATAAGGCGTGGGCGCGTAGAAAGGCTGGAAACAATGGATGATAATCGTAACTCAATAGCAATCAGCGAAAGAGTGAAAGGCATAAGGGATCTTTTTATTTAGTACTGCTTTCTTCTCAACCCGGAACCCTAATATAGACATTTACGACGCACGAGTTGTTTACATTTGGCCAATTGGGAGCCTGTTCGACAGCAGTGCCAGCAGTTACAACCTAGCTACATTTGCTGACGTCATGAGTAGTTCGTTAGGCATTTTTAGCAATTTTCTGTCGGATAATTGTTGAAATGTCACACTTTATTTATAATGAAATAAAATTTGGTCACTAAAGTTATTTGAAATACCACAATCTACAATTCAAAAGGATTTATTTTTGATAACCATGGAATTGGAACGCTCATTGCAGCTCCAACAAGCCATGATGAACAGGGTTTTGAGCACTGGAATCCATTTGTTGTTAGGCACGTTTGTCGAAGAGTGCAGGGGATGGGATAAGGGGTAAAAATTCGGTATTTTGGAAGTTTAGACGTGTAATAGTATCGTAGGTCTGCTGCATGAAAAGTTCGGTCAAAAGTTTATTTGCAAGAACCTTATTTATCACCAACGCTGTACCCGATGGAGGAGTTTCAAGCATGGCTCACAAACAAGTTATTGTCACTGGAATCAGATGACAGTGTTATCACTGATTACATAAATGGGATACTTACGGGAGATGAATCTCAACCAGAAAAAGAGGAAGCATTGCAGGGAATACTGTGTGGAATTATGGTAAGTTGACTAATCCATGTTATAAGGTTCATCAATGTTTTGTTACAATTTACAATTACTCAACTATGGACATGAATCGGGTGGAATCTGAAGACAGAGTGTCTGAGGGCATTTTAAGTCATGTGGCAACTAAGAAGTTCTCCCCCTCTTGCTGCCTTCCACAGGCTATTTGCCATGTGCTCTGTGCAAGTGAATAGTAAGAGCATTGGCCCTTGATCAAATTGCCCTAGGCATCCAGTTTTCATATTCCACCCATGAACACACTGTTTTCAGGACGCCGGTGAACACAGGGCGCCGCAGGGCATATTAGTCACGTGATATTTGGAACTACTCCCCCTCCGTGGGCCTTCTACATTCCAAACGTCACGCGTAAATTTCACGAACCTTGATCAAATCGTCCCAGGCGCCCTGTTTTCACCGTCGTCCTGTTTTCAGATTCCACCCATGACAATGAAACATGATGCAAAGTGGAAGCGATTGATACAGCGTGAAATATATAAAATGATATCTAGAAAATTTCCAACTGAGATAGAATTAAGATATAAATATCAGAAGAATACAGAAAGAAAAAAGACATATGAACTGCTTACAACATGAGTTAGTTAAGAGAACATGTTATTAGTTACCTACAACATCAGTAAGGAAAATGTTATTAGTGTGTGATGATTTTGAATTGATATTTTCAGTCAAAACTACTTTTGCTATAGGTTTCATGAACTATGAAGCCATACAAGGAAGTACCTAACATAGTGCCTAGGTACTTTTTAATTATTGTTAAGCATGCTCTAATCTAATACTAGGTATTTAATGTACCTACCTGCTAAGTCCTAACCATGCATTTGCATTTACAGGAGTCAGGAGTGGAAGAGTTTTGCCAAGAAATATTTGCTAAATGGAATGAGTGCAATTCAACAAGTGCTAAGAATCAAGAAAATGGTGCTGCACAGAAGGTAAAGCAACTTTTAACATCTGTTTCATTTCAAGATCTATACACAGTAGGATAACACCCTTAGTGACTCAGGAAATGATTATCAGGCATTAAAAAGAAAAATATTGGCTTAAAGGTTTATAAATTTCTAAGCTTATACGATCACTGCACATACTCAGCATAGGTCATCATCATATCATCATTGATTTAACATCATAATTTAAAGTGATGTCCACTGTCTACATATGGGAATGGTGGAATGATTTGAAGTCATGCTTTCTTCTTGGTGTGTTCCTGCCAGGTTGACATTGAAGATCAACTGTCCAAGATCATGGAGCAGCAGAATCTATCTGCAACTGTCACAGAGAAGCCCAAGGTGTCCAATGCGGATAAAAAGCTAAAGGAAGCTATTCTCCAGCAATATGCTGAGGTATGTTGACAACAAGTTCAATGCAGTAAAATAAATGGAATGACAGTAGAACTGGAGTGGAAGGGGCGAGTGATAACTGATAAGTGTAGGCATGAGCTGTCAGACATGTTTAAATGTTACCAACTTATATTTTAGTAGTGGCATTGACCACACAAAATATAGTAATTGAACCTAGAGTATGAAGCTCCCCCAAATTGACAGAAGTGAGTAACCCTGAATCCCTTTCATCTGTTGACAGGTGTCTGACCATGAGGAAGACGAGGAGGGCGGGGGCGAAGAGCAGCTGGAGGCGGGTAAAAACACCAACCGCGACGAGGTCACCCGCGAGGAGCAGGAGCGGCGAGAGAGGATGAAGGCCGAGGCGGCCGCCAAACGCGAGAAGGACAAGCTGGACAGGTGAGCCGGGCACCGGATCACTGAGCTCGGATCGGGGCGTTGCGCCCCCGTCAGGGGACGTGGGCGGAATCAGGGTAACATTTGGTCGTTCTACTGTTTGGCTATGTATGGGCGAGTTTTCGACTGCAGTCACGACGGCGGACTTTGATCTGACAGTCTGCGCCGCGGTCTGTCCCCAGGGAGAAGCAGAAACAGCAGCAGGCCGAGCGAAAGGATAAGGAGAAAAAGCGCACCGCTAAAACGGAGAAGCGCAGATAGCACGGCCACGACAGTGTGGTGGATGTAGGGAGTTCGACATGCGCTGTGTGTGCTGGGCCCCCGCAAAAGTGATCTGGTATATGTAGAGTCTGACGGGATTGTTCTGGCTATGTTGGTCTGTCACGCAGTGTGTTTATGCGTGGTGATACTCCTGGACTGGTGCCATCCGGTGCCGTCCGTGTGCGTTTGTGTGTGCGTGCTGACTGAGCGGGTCAGTGCGCGGGGTAGGGCGGCGCGGAACTGGGCAGATTTGACACGCCTGCAGATATTGTATCCGACCCGCGGTAGTGCTTATTACGCTGAGCACAGTCCGTCACTGCCCAGCGGCTCGTGTGTTTTGTCACTGCTTCGAACGGCGCGCATTGGCTCGGCGAGTCGTGCCTGGCAATATGAACCGCTGTAACACCGCTGTGTTTGGCGTGTCGAGTTCTATGAGCTGAGAACCGTTCGCCCAAGGGAAAAGGAAAAGTCCTTCCAAGACAGGAGTTCTGCTGTTACTTACGGAACAATACTACTTAACCACTCCGTTTGTACCCTCATGTGTATTAATTCACAATTATGATTCAAATGAAGTATGATGGCTGATGAAATCACCTCCGTTTCGACTTTTTCCGCCTATCATCACCTGATGACTCCTCCGAACTCGAGCTGCTTTCCGAACTCGTGGAACGTCGTCGCTTCTTCTTCTTTTTCCTTTTCTTTTCACGGTCACCATCTTTGTCGCCGTGTTTCTTGCTCTTACGAGGGCGTTTGTCCGGTTTCTCAGTGGACTCGTCTCGCCGTTTCTTACTGCTCCGTCTATCATCACCCTTGTCGGAATCGACCGATCGTCCCCGTGGCTCGTCCCGTTTGCTGCGCCTCGCGTCGGGACTGGGAGAGCGTCCCCTTCTCTCACGGACCGCCGGCTCGGGACGCCTGTTGTCCGGACTGGAGGGCCGCCTCCGGTCACTGCCGTCTCGCCGATCTCTTCTCGCATCGGGGCTGCGGAGTGGTCTCCTATTGTCGCGGTCGTCTTCCTTCCTGGGTCTCTGCCGTGGACTTCGAGATCGTAAAGTTTCGGACCGAGAATCGCCCTTCGTTGACCGTCGCTCCTCTGGGCTTCGAGATCTCCTCTTTTTGTCTCGGATATCGTCTCTCCTTCGAGAACGATCGTCTGGACTACGTGAATGACGCCTCTTGTCGCGAGAGCTTTCTTTCCTGGGAGTCCTCGCATCAGGACTCGGAGACCGCTGCCTCTTATTCCTCACTTCATTCTCTCGTTTCATTCTTGTGTCCACGTCAGGGGATCTCTGACGCTGTTTCCTACTTCCCTTTGTAGTAATTGAATCACTACCACTGGAATCATCGTGATCAGAACTGTCTCTGCGGGACTTCTTTTTATGTTTCTTCGCCTTTTTGTTGTGCCGCGCTCCGTGGGTGGAGCCCTCGCTGTCACTCTTCTGTAAGAAAGAAATGAACGCATCAGTCCCAGGATAACATGATCTGCCGCAATGAAGCTAAATGCCATGAATATCGGCAAAAGACGGAGCCGCTAATACCCGACAACATGGAAACGAACAGGAAACCAAAGTAATTAATATAATAGTGGCATTCCAGCCGATACTAGTGAACTTCGCTACGCATTACTTTACTAATGCTTTACGAGCTTAACACCAAATTTAATGGCAGCTGCTTAACACTAAGAGTCGCGTGAAACACTGAGCCCCATTGTGATCCCCCTAAGCAGTCCGTTTTTCTCACCTCTTTTTCGCCCGCCAGTAGCGCCTTCAGCTGGCCGACGTCCAGTCTGCTGCCGTCACGGCCAGCGTCTTTGGAGCGGCGCTGCTCCCCGCCGCCGCGGTCCCTGTCTCCGCGACCTCTGTCGACGTGGTCTCTGTCTCCACGGTCTCTGTCACGGTCTCTGTCTCCATGGTTCCTGTAGCCACGGCCCCGGTCTTGGTACCTGTCGCCGCCGTCCCGGGCGTGCGCTGTGGGCCGGCCGGGTGGCCCGCCTCTGCCGCCGCGACCCCTGCCGCCGCCCCGACCTCGGCCTCGGCCACCCACGCCGCCACCGCCGCCCATCTGAGCAAGCTCGGCGGCCGAGGTGCCACTCTCGTAGGAGATTTTGCCGCGGCCGCGCCACTTCACTTTGGAAACGGACTGAGAGAAGTCGACGTGGATGCGACGGTCGTCGATCAGCACGTTGTCCATTTTGAAGTAGGCGTTCTCGCACGACTTGGGGTTGTCGAACTCGATGAAACCGTACTGCAGCGAGTTGCCCGTCTTCTGGTCCCGAATTATTTCACAGCTGAGGGAGGGCAACTGGTAAGGCTAGGAGCACATTTACCACAGTTGGGGTCATACGAGCAAGACTAGCGAGCGACACCCCGACCCGTTACATCGTCGAATAATCTTCCCTACTCATTTCCTGCATTGTATAATGTAATGTGCATTACGCGCTTTCTCCAAATGTATCAGATCAGCATGGTAAGAGCTCTTTCCACCAATCTTTTGCTCCAAATAGTGCATAGGCTTTCTGACATGGAAGCTCTCGCCCGTTCCTCTTTTCAGTTTACTTCCCATCCGCCTTATGGACTGTACGTACATTACGAGTTGTCCCATCACATCTTTTCAATCACATGTGTCCCGTTCATCTCACTCTCCCCCCGCCCGTCTGACCATAGCTCGCCTAGCAACCATCTCACCTGACCACCCTGCCGAACCGGGAGAAGATGATCTGCAGGTCATCATCGGTGGTCACCGGGTTCAGTTTGCAGATGAACAGCACGTTCTCCGGCGGGGCCGAGTCGGCGTCCGGCAGGTCGCCCACCATCTCCAGAATGGTGGCGCGCGCCCGGGCCTCGCGGTCCTCGATGAGCTCCTCGAGCTCTTCGGCGGTGCGTCCGCCCGACTCCTCGAGGTCCTCATCGGCGGCAATCCGACCCGACTGGCGGTCAGACAAGGGAACGTCAGTTCACTGCAGACGGGTGGAGAGAGAGAGAGAGAGAGAGAGAGAGAGAGAGAGAGAGAGAGAGAGAGAGAGAGAGAGAGAGAGAGAGAGAGAGAGAGAGAGAGAGAGAGAGAGAGAGAGAGAGAGAGAGAGAGAGAGAGAGAGAGAGAGAGAGAGAGTGTGTGTGAGAGTGAGAGAGTGAGAGTGAGAGTGAGAGTGAGAGTGAGAGTGAGAGTGAGAGTGAGAGTGAGAGTGAGAGTGAGAGTGAGAGTGAGAGTGAGAGTGAGAGTGAGAGTGAGAGTGAGAGTGAGAGTGAGAGTGAGAGAGAGAGAGAGAGAGAGAGAGAGAGAGAGAGAGAGAGAGAGAGAGAGAGAGAGAGAGAGAGAGAGAGAGAGAGAGAGAGAGGCGCAGACGGAGACAGACAAACAGACGCACCTCGGGAGCGTCAGTAGGTGAGAAGACACAAAGACAGAGACAGACAATGATAGCAACGTCAGACGCGGTGATGTCAAACGTCAGAGAACGACTGTAAGGCGGGACGCAGACGGAGAGAGGCAGACTAAGACACGAGACAATGAGCTAGGCAGACAGCGAGTAGTCAGATAACGACGGGTGGGTGCGGACCAGACAGAGACACAGACAGACATACAGACGGACAATGAAACAGGTATACATACAGACAGAATTACAGGGTGGACCAAAAAGGATGGAAACATTTTGAACTCGCATAAAATATGTGTTATTGCATGCAGGTGACTGAAAATGATACCAAACGAGAGTACATTTCGTGGAAATTCATAATGACATCTCTCTCATCTGCTTTCTCTCGTTTTCAGTCTCCCACAGCGAATGTTCGAAGAGGCCACTTTTGCGAGACAGGCAAAGAGCGGCCCGCCTGGCTGCTGACGCGATAGCCCGATGACACATGTCCGCTGGTTTGGCTCGTACAGCCTCTCATGATCACTCTCTTCAGGTAACAGATGCCTTTAGAACCTTCCTTGTAAACCTGGCCTTGAGATGACCCCACAGGAAAAAAATCCATCGGGGCAGGCACGTACCCAGGATTTCGCCCAGGAGGGGGCCACCTGCTTCCGAAGGGGCCCTTAGGTCACCCAAGGGCCCCCCAGGCCGCCCAGGCAACCAGGGGCCCTCAGGGGTCCCAGGCAACCAAGGGCCCCCATGCGTCCAGGCCCCCGCTACCAGGGTCCCCTTGGCGACTAGGGGCCCCAGGCGATCAGGGGCCCCATGCCGCCGCATGCGACCAGGCCCCCCGGCTACCAGGGCCCCCTAGGCGACTAATGGACCCCAGGCAATCAGGGGCCTCCATGCGACCAGGCCCCGGCTACCAGGGGCCCCTAGGCGACCAGGGGCCGAGGAAACCGGGGGCCCTCGGATGACTGCAGGGGCCCATCGGGTCATCAGGGGCCCCTCGGGTAATTCAGGGGCACATAAATGAAACTTTGATATCATTTTTTCTTCCTAGTGACAGACGCTTTATTCAGTGTTTGAAAAAAATATACCGGGGCCTGAGGGGCCCCCTCAGCGCCTTCGGCGCTCAGGAGGGGGCCATGGCCCCCGTGGCCCCCCCTTGGGTACGTCACTGCATCGGGGTCAGGTCAGGTGATCAGACAGGCCAGTTCCGACAGGCACTGCGGGATATCAGCCGGTCACCAAAGTGGTTCTCGCTCCACTTGAGCGTTGTTTCGCGATGTGAGGAGGCGCACCGTCTGGCTGGAATCACATGAGGTCCATGAGACTGCCATACTTCGTTTGGGCTCACTTCAACAACTTCTTTAGCGTCGCTTGGTAGCGCTTTTGGTCGTCAGCCACGGTGTTGTCGCTCCCATCCTCGAGCCGAAGTGGAACTGGCCTGTCTGTCTTTTCATCTGACCTATGGATTCCTTTCCCGTGGAGTCATCTCAAGGGTCAAGTCTACGAGGAAGGTTATGTAGGCCTCTGTTATCTGAAGAGAGCGACCACCAAGGCTGTGCGAGTCATACCAGAGGACATGTGTCATCGGGCTATCGCGTCAGCCGGCAGGCGGGCCGCTCTTTGCCTGTCTCGCAAAGATGGCCTCTTCGAACATTTGCTGTGAGAGAAGGAAAACGAGAGAAAGCAGATGAGAGAGATGTCATTATGAATTTCCACGAAATGTTCTCTCGTTTGGTATCATTTTCAGTCACCTGCATGCAATAACACATACTTTATGCGAGTTCAAAATGTTTCCATCCTTTTTGGTCCACCCTGTACTGAGACATACTGACACAAAGACGAACACACAGATAGGCAGTTGACAAATAGGCAGGAACGCAGCGATACGTTACACCTTCACTCAATATACCCTGCGTTACACCGACACAGACACCTGACCGGGCCCCCCGGTTTGACCCTTGCTCCTGCGTCCCTCGGCGACACTCACGTTGAGGATGTCGTCGGTGAGCGGAGGCGAGCGGTCGGGCGGCTGCAGTCCGGCCGGGTCGTCCAGCGGATCGTCCAGCACCACCGTGTGTGTGATGCTGCGGCCGAGTGGCGAGGTCAATTCACCTATCACTGACGACCTGTCCCATCCACAGCCCGCCTAGGGAGTCGGACGGCGTGACGGCTGCTTTGAGACGACAGTATAAAAACACACACATGAAACATAGTTGATAGTGACGCCACCATTCTTACCTGCCGGGTAGCACGATACAGACACAAAATGGTCACAGTCGTCGGGGCGCCCCCGCCCACAAACCTCAGAAGGAAATCAAACACGTGAAGTGATGAACGTTTTGAATTGTTTTTGAACACCAGTTTTTCGTCAACTAAGGCCACACCAGGACCATGTAACAGCATCACGTCACGCCTTCTCCCCCGTTCGGGCTGTTCCCGTCTGCGGTGGCGGCGATGTCCTGGTCTCACCGTATATCCTGGTAAGGCTGGTGCTTGTCATCGCAGATGGCCGAGTTGAGTTTGACGAGTACGTCCAGCCCTTCAACCACCTGTCCGAACACACAGTGTTCGCCATCCAGGTAATCCAGCTGCTCGGCGAGCGTGAAGAAAAACTGAGAGCCGAGCCTGTGGGCACACCATCTTTGGTCAGAGAATGCCTGCCAGTATCAATGGTAAATCAGTGACAGTGCAAAGGAATGTCTGTTGAGCCAGCCTAACCAGACAGTGACCACTCCTCTGATTACAATCAGAATAGCATATATGTACAATGTATATCATTTGATGTAACAAGACTTACATGTGGCCTCCATGGCTGGCAAATGATAGAGTGCCAGTGTTCTGATGCTTCAGCTTTGGAGTCTTTTCAGCTTCAAAATATTTGGCCTGATCACCATACAAAATTCTGAAAGAGTGTAATAGAACATGAGATGAAAACCTCCAGGTAGGTACATATATACAAGGTGATGCACCTCATCTACAATATAATCTAATCTGCATGTTGGTTCAACATGGTACCTAAATAAATCACTCAAAGCAGCCTGGTTATTTTCATTCCTGAAGAATAAAGAGGGCCGGTGTTCCATTTGAAGGGAGGCTTGGGTATGAGACAGTCGAGAACACAGAAAGAGTGTGGTCCATGCTCCTTGACTTATCAGCCACATTGTTACCATGTATGAGGTATTCCTCATCCATGTTGTTACCTTGTCTTTGTTTTATTGTGACCTCAAACCTGTGATTCAAAACTTCACATAACAGTGGCCTGGCAAAGATGAAAAAGCACAAAGCTCAGAAATAGTAACATAAAATTGTAAGGACTACCAAAATGGATACTTAATAAATATCTGTTTGGGAGCCTACTTCAACTTTGCAGCATTCCAAGGGCAATTTAGTAAGGCAGCTCATCACCAAATTTATCAGCTTCTTGCTTTATGATTAATGTTACTTACCCATACAGACTTGTTCCTCCTTTTCCAGTGCCTTCAGGGTCACCAGTCTGAGCTATAAAGTCGCGCTGGACAGTGTGAAATAAGCAGAAATTATAATACTTCAGCTTACATAGCTTCAGAAAGTTTTGACAGGCTGAAAAGAAAAATAACAAAGTTTTATATTTGATGGAACAGAAGAACCTGGCATTATAATGGCACATTTTTTAAGTGGGCTTCTTTTATTTAGGTACCAGATTTTCATTTACCTATCAATAAAAAAAAGACAAAAAGCATGGGTCAGTACTCAATATAGGTAGCTTTCACCAGATGACTTCACTGACAACCTGGCAATTAGCCAAACCAATTGGCTGACATATTCACATGATAAAACTTTCCCAAATATAATCCAGCCAAAACACTTAAGTGTGCAGTTAAAACTTATTTATAGATTTTTAAGAGTAAAATAATTGACATCAACTGACATGGGCATTAGGCATGAATGAAACATTAACCAGAATCTATGAACAGAACAAGCATTCACATTCACACTGAAGAGACATCACACATGACAACATGTGTGTCCAATGGCCCTAGGTTTTGAAGGCAAGCAGTTTTACTGTGTAGATACTGTGGAAAACTCGCGCGACAGGCCAGCCCCCACATTACCACTCCGAGCCACTGGGCCGCCAGCACCCAGAACACACAGACAAGGCTGGGTCGGCCTGACAGTGACGCTGGAGGCATAGACATGGCTCGCCGGAGCCGCCTCTGGACCAGCCGAACACGGAAGAAATTGAACCAAGGACAAGGACACACGGCTGCCGGGTACTGACAGCGCCTGAGGCAGAGGGCGGCCGGCCCGAGTGGCAAGGCGCATGACGTAACGAGGCTCACCCTGGGTGGGGACTGCATCAGGGCTGGGTTGCCAAGGGCCTGAGGCTACCCCGCCCCTGGACCACTCAGGTCGACGACAAGTCTGACAAGATGCTGATGGTGGTGCTGCATGGCCCCTCCTCCTGACAGCGAACTGGGGAGGAGGCGAGGCTGGCCATGGCACTGCCATATAAGAAGCATGCCCTCGGCAGTCTTCAGAGTCTCAATCCGTCAGTCTACGGCCTTCAATTGTCTTAGAGTCATCTCGACCCATCAGCCGAGACCGAGGCCGCTGGGCGCTCTAGTGTGTGCGAGTGCAGTGATAGTGATTGAAACATGTAAGTACTGACGCTGGTTCAACCACCGTCCACCCATGCTGATGGCTCGCTGGTCAGAGCGCGAATGGATTGTGAATCAACTTTCGATACAGCTTTCAGACTCATTTGACTTACCCCTTGGCCTTTCCTTGAGAAACAAATCTACAGTTATGTCACCAATTGTCGTTTCAATAACCACAGACATTGATAAAATCCGCTGATCGCCGCTCACATATTTATAAATCCCGCAATAATCTCATTCATCTTCGACTAGGTGAGTTGACATCACACATCACACCGCCCCCTGCCATTGGCGCGTTTTGAAATTGGGTTCAATCCACTGAACTCTATAATGTTCAATCAAAAACGTTTACACTGATTTCGTTCAAATTTGAATGCACATCTAGTTAGCAGCTCGTTGCTAGGCAATTACTTGTTTTTCCTGCTAATTTTCTCTAGTTGCCTAGCAACTAGCATTCTAGTTCCTCCAAAGCGCTCTTTATGAATAAGACCAACAGTTATTGAATGTAACAATTGCGCCAGAACTATCTTTGGTAGCTGAAGGAAAACCTTTACTAAATTAAATTACGCGTAATCTTGCGTACCTACTTTTGTTGTAAGCGAGATATTTGATAGATACGATACATTGCGTTGATTTTCTCTTGTCTGCTAAGCCTATTTTCTTGGCAGAAACATACTCATTTTTATAGATAATTAAGGCAATTTCTATTACAATTCCATGTTTTGAAGCCGAGGGCAGCAAGTAACTAGAGCACCTGGTACTCGGTGATTCTATCAAATCGGGCAGATCCGGGCTCGAGTGGTTACTAGTTACCTAACGTCTCGCGAAGGTACTCAGCTGTCACCGCTGGTTGCTTTTTGCAACGACGCGCCGTATTTCGCCTGTAGGACTCTGTTGAGAATGGAAGGTTGGTGGAGGATCCACCCTTGTGGAGGACCTGCACCCTTTTACAGTGTATTCATATACACTGTGGACCCACCTGTAGTGGCTCACACGGTTTCAATTTGGACCATCACTTCTTGGGACTGTCTAGTAATGCTTGGAGTGGTTCTAGCGAGTAGCGACCGCCACCTGAATCTCGTGAAGACTCCCAAAGGTCGATAACATTTCAACGAGGAGTCACAACTTGAACTGGCTGTAAGCCGCAATAGGAAGACGGGTATCAAAAAGTGAATCCCTTCACAGCAATTAAAACACAACGTGTCTCCGTGGGCGAGCTGGAATTGCTCATTACACTACAAACATGGTCATTAATTATACATTTGCTGAGCAATGACATGAACCTGTCAAATGCTCCTTTCTCAATAATATACGCTACGACATACATCATCGTCGTCGATAAATTAGTATTGTGCATTATGGCCAAATAATGGCGACATGCGTTGAGATCAGTGTGTTGTTCGGTGACGTTCAGTTGGGATCCTGGTGGCCGTAGCTGACCAATCGCCGTTGAACTCGACATTTAGCAATAACAAATCCGTTAACAATTAAATGCTCGCAATAGTGTGAGAAGTGTATTCTGGACTAGGAATAACCGCCGTCAAAAAGCCAATCAAGGATAATCCAACAATTCCCATCCTTTCATTGTCGATCAGCTTATGGCCTCTGCGCCATCATTATCGTCCTAGATCTAGCATCCATCAAATCTAGAGCAGTTCAAACGCTCCAAAAACAGCACACCAAACAAGCCTATGCCTAAAAGCTAAATCAAATATTAGGACGCCTGTTCGACAGAGCGGAATAACAGTCCCGTCCAAAGGCCAGTTTTTGAACTAACCAGCATCACAAGTCCAACAACGATAAGCTAGGACAAGCAGCAATGAAAAACGTCAAAGAGACAATATCACCAGCTGAAAGGCACGGTTGATATCATATCACATCTATGATTAACCCGCGCCCCGTAGGGGGGGGGGGCCGAAACGCCCCCCCCCCCCTGTCCTTTTCGGTCGATATCTCCTAAACGGCTGGAGATATCGCCACCAAACTTTCAGGACCCCTCCGGGCATCAATTTTACACATTGTGACCAAAAATTTTCCAGAGGCTGTGATAGGTTGGCCACAAATGACGTCAGAGTGACGTCATGTTCTGTCATTTTCGACCGAAAAAAGACCTTCGCGAGAAAACCTGTCAGGCCTACAGCTTTGAAGATACAGAAAAATGATCAAGACATAAAAGGTGTAGAATTGACAGGGCTACAAAACTGCTATCTCGGATTTTTGAAATTTTTGAGTTTTGATCCCCAAAAATCAAAAAAGCATTTTTTAGATATATTAGCCAAAAAATCCAAAAAGTTTTTTGAGTTTCGAAAAAACCGGAATATATGTGATAGTGCCTACCGTCTTCTATCTACATAGTACATACCAAATTTCAGATCGATACCTCGTTTTTTGGCCAAGTTATAGCGAAAAAACTGTTCAAAAATGATGACGTCAAATTTTCAAACTCAATTTTTGGCAATTCTAGACCTCGTAGAGCAAAACAAAGACCACCATTAGACTCCCCGTGACGAGCTGCATCGAATGATACCCATTTTATGCAAAAATATCAACTTTGAAATTTGACCTAATTTGACCTGACCTTGACCTGACCTTCACCAAAACGTGACCTAGGCTGGCCCCAAAGGCTGCCTAACCCACATAATCTCATTTGTCATGTAAAATGGACCATAAAACATGTATCACACGACACATTCATATTGTGACCCCCGGTGACCTGACCTCGCTGTGACCTGACCTGGTATCAGTGACCTCAGATAGCAAAGTATGTGTTTGACGAACAATATACCATCGATGGTTTTCAATAAATTACCAATTTACTCGATTTCACAGCACATTTCTTGAATTGCCTGTGAACGGTGAAAATCTGACCTTTGACCTGACCTGTGACGTCATCGGTTTGACCTAGGTCAATGAAATTTGGTCACAAGGTAGTTCCCGGGTAGGGCTATCAAACGCCGTTTGAATTTTGAAAATCGGCCGGTAACTTTCCGAGATCTTAGGGGGGGCCGAAACGGCCCCCCCTACGGGTGGTAGGGTCCGCCGGTAGCCCTACGGGGCGCGGGTTAAGGCACTGGGCAGCGAAGGTCATCCCTGAAATCCAGATCAGCAAGCAAGAGGAGTAATGGAATGAGCATAAACTTATTTTAAGAGGTTCATCTCTATCACATAAGTCCTATCAATAAAGTTGAGACATCAAACCAACCAAGGCAAAGTATAATCATCTTGCCGTTGTAGCAAGGAATCACACAAATAATAAATAGCAACATCTAAGTGGAAACACGTAGCAAGAATGATCGAGCGACAAGTCGCTTCATTGTGCGTCACTTTAAGATCTGTTGATAGCTAGCAACATTCTGAATTAAATAAACTCTCAAACAAATGGTACTTGCAGGCAAAATTACATAAACAACAACCAGCTAATATCAAATCGGACCTAGGGCGGCCGTTAAAATCAACGTAAAACACGGTGCGTGATGTTTGCGCAGGTGCGTGTACCGAATGTACACAAGGACGTTGTTCTGTTTCCGGACTAGCATGACTCCTGGTTCGATGGCCGCCGCACCGGCTGCTGGCTCACGTGCCGGGCGCGCCGGTCCCTGCTCACAGGTCGATGTTGCTGCTGACACTCCGTCTGAGGGAGAGGTTGCGCCGGCGGCCCGTCTGCTCCAGCTCGCCCAGCGTCTCATCCTCGCCGCCCTTTACTGGCGACATGCGGCCGAACCAGAGCTCCCGCTGGGGGCACACAGAGAAGCGTCATATCGGGTAGGCGGCGTTAGGCAGGGTTCACACGACAAACAGACGGACTCGGGTGGGGTCGACAGCAGGCAGAGTAACTACGGTGTCAGGTCGGGTCACACGGCTCACAGACGGGGTACACAGGCAGTAGTGTCACACAGACAGTAGGTGAGGCCTCACAACGTATATACAGATGGGTCAGGTGTGGTCACAACAGACACCTTGTCAGCACAGCTCCACAGTCTAATTACAAAAGGAATGATAAGTACCAGGGACAAAACAGTAGCAAAGTCGGTATCGAGCCGATGAATGCGATTCATTAACATATGAAGCACACGTGCAGGCTAAAGACAACAGCCAACAAAAGTACATAAACATAAGGCATCGACGCATCGCGCACGCCATTGTCGTGGAGTGGCTGCAAGCGTATTGCGTAAAGGCCTGGCTACACTATGCGTTTTCTGCGTGCGTTTTTTGCGTGTTTGCGGGTTTTGCGTAATATCGTTCTAGAAAAAGGGTTATTATTAAATAAACTTCTTTAATATTGATATAAAAAAAATAATAAAACGTTTATGTTAATTAAAAGTTTATATGAAAAACATATGACAAAAACGTCATTTCGTTTCTTTCTAGAACGATATTCTGCAAATCACGCAAACTCGCAAAAAACGCACGCAGAAAACGCATAGTGTAGCCAGGCCTTAAGACAAAGTATGACGACGAAGCACACAGCAGCCGCGCTGCGCAAACTCGATGTCATGGGACAGGACGGCGGCGGCGGCGGCGGCGGCGGCGGCAGGGACAGGACGAAGGCAGCTGCTCTGTTGAGGGTGCGCACCACACAACTACCGGGGCTCAGGTGGTCACGGAGCTCAGCTAGCGTGTCACACGGCTCGGCTGCAGCCACGGACAGCCGCGGCGCCAAGCTGTGCGGTTATGGTATACTCACGGCTCAGCACGTTTGCGCTAGCGGGGGGAGAGAAACGGGTCGGTATGAGCCAAGCCGGCAGTACTGCGCAGAGAAACACCCATAGGGCAGTCAAACACCCTGCCTGTGGTTACAGTCGCCGTACATGGAGACTGTGCCCCCATAAAGATCAGCTGGTTGGGACGAGTCCCCGGTATCGAGTACCCGCACCGTCCTCACAGGTGCGGTAAAACACGGCTGCCTAATGTGACAGGAACGTCAAAGGAAGCGGTCGCCGTGACAGGACTCTTGTGAGACTGGCCGGAAGTATATGTAATCCGTTTTTCAACCAAATAGCGGCCGGGAGGAAAGCATGATGGTAGTTTACCCAAATCCAACCCAATCACCAGAGACCAAACTCATCTCCCTAGGGATGGCAGAGTAGGTTTTTTTACTTACCGATGGCAGACTGTACTGATTCGAGCTGCTCCACTCCTCGAACCGAGCACGTGCCGCCGCTACCTTGTTCTTCTCCCGCTGACGGCATGTCATCATGACGTAGGTCTCACGGAACCTGCGGCACAAGTCATCATGATGTAGGTCTCACGGAACCTGCGGCACACGTCATCATGATGTATGTATTACGAAAGCTACGATGACGTCACCATGATGGTATGCTTCATAAATGAACCTACCATACCTTATTACACACAAAACCCAGCCCTCCCATCATGTCACGCACCCTACCCTCCACCCACCATTCTCTGGTCGAGCAGGCCCGTCGGTGCCACTCACTTATCGGGCAGCAGAGGGGACACATCCGAGCGACGGATAATCATGGCCGTGTTTGGG